TGTATATAAGAATATAATAAGTATTGTCAAGGGCGAATCAGTTAAAAGTGTGATGAGCAATATAACAAATTTTTATTTTTATTACAGTATTATGGTCACGCAAAAACAGCCCAGAACCAGAAATTAAGAACTCTTTGTTAATATTATATTATTTTCTATTATTGGATTGGACAGAAAATCACTGCAGGACACTGCTAGAAAAGATATTATTGTGAATACACTTTCAAGAACATCATCATTTTAACAATTGTGAGACTGGGCGGTGTAATCAGGCGCTTGTCAAAATAACGAAAGTGAAGAAACTAGCATCTTTCAGCAGGTTTGTGAATTTTTATAGAATCTTTATTTTTTTGGCTCAACACCTTCTATACGTCCATTAAAGAATACATCACTGTATGGATTTTATAGAAAAGCATTGATTAAAGGCACAAAAAATGTACTTTTTCAGTTTCCACAGACTCTCAAGCTAAGGAAATAACTGAACTTTGGCAGCCATTTTCTTGTAAATTTTACCTCTGAAACTTGGTGACTCCCACCTTTTTCAAATACCAATATCTCGACTTGTATGCAAGATAAACGGATTTTTTGTTTTCAAAAGCAAGACAAATTAACAAGTTTTAAGATGACACCATGAAAAACTCCACATGCCCAAAAATAGACCGGCGCCTGATTCCAGCGCATCGCGACACAATTAATGATCACTATCAATAGGTCTGTCATTGTCAACAGGCTACAGGGCTAGAGGTGAAGCTACAGCAAAAGGAGGGTCTGTCTAGAGGGAGAGTTTACCTAATCCTTAATGGGCTCTGAAATACAACGATCGGTGAGGTTTGTGAGAGAGAGAGAAAAACATGATCAGGAGGGAGGGTGGGGGGAGGGGGAGGGGAACAAATTCTTAATGGGCTCTGAAATACAACGATCGGTGAGGTTTGTGAGAGAGAGAGAAAAACATGATCAGGAGGGAGGGTGGGGGGAGGGGGAGGGGAACAAATTCTTAATGGGCTCTGAAATACAACGATCGGTGAGGTTTGTGAGAGAGAGAGAAAAACATGATCAGGAGGGAGGGTGGGGGGAGGGGGAGGAGAACAAATTCTTAATGGGCTCTGAAATACAACGTCGGTGAGGTTTGTGAGTGAGAGAAAAACATGATCAG